TTATATTTTCACAGGCAAATCTGAGAATGATGTGCAATTATCCACAATACAATTACCAAGCATTAAGAACAGTTAAAGATGTCTTCTTATGTCTTTACAAATGCCGAGTCTGACTAACCAGTCCAAGTTCCAGTAGGAAGTGAACACCATGACCAATGTGCTTACAAAGTGCCCTAATTTCCAGTGCGTCACATCTACAGATAAAGCAAAAGGAATCATAACCTCTTAATTGTGCCTGTTAAGTAGAAAAAATAGGCCACCTGGACTGCATGAATGAGAAGTGCATTTAAAGAATGAACAAACTCCATATATAAGCAGGAAGCTGAAATAAATGCAAGGACTACCATGATTTGCTCAGAGCTGGAAGCAGCCCGCATAGCCTGAAAACAGACGTGAAGGTGTTGTTGGAGTTTAGCAGATGTTTCCTGGCATCATCTTGTACAGTTCTCCTCTTCCTCCTCTATCCTTAAGGGAAAAATCAGATGTGCTCTGTTACTCCGCATGCTCTGTGAGAAGGGACAGTACCCTGGGAGATCACGCCCTGGCACAGAAAACAGCTCTTCATGCATTAGAGACACCCCTTTCTGAGAGAAAAACAAAGGAAGAAATTAGCTTATGTGCACTGACAGTACTAAATCAAAATGAAGTAGGTTCAGAAGAGCCAGAGGAAGAATGCCAAGGATTTCTCTAGAAGCCCTGGTTTGTGCAGACAGCAAGGCTTCAAGCCTTCAAGCGAACCTCCCAAGCTATCATTTTCAGATGAACCTGAAGAAATCCAATATACACAAACCAGAGGAGCAGGATTTGAAAGAATCCCAGATGCAGACTCAGAATCTCTGTTGTTTATCCAGTGACATTTTAAGAGCTCATGCTGTGCTGATATATTGCCAGGTGACTGTCTTCCCAAGAGAGAGATGTCAGGGTGGTCTTTAATAATAGCGGGGGTTTATTCTGGCCTATACTTCCAGTTTGAGCAAGAAATTATTTCTTCATCTGAGGGTCATATTTCCACCTTTGGTTTTCATTTTGTTTGTTTTTTTTTTTTTTTTTTGTCACATATTGCATTTTACATCTATTTATTTGATACACTCTTTATTTTGAGTTTGGACTTAAAAATGTTTTATGTGCCCAAGAGAGACACCTGAAGCTAATCAGGCAGGAGTGGTCAGGATTTAACAAGTGCTCATAGCCTTAAAACCTCTGTCCAATTAGGTCTTTATGTAGTATGGCACAATAGTAAATATCAGAATTGTGGATTTTACAATTTCTATGCCTCGGTTTCATCATCTCTAAACAAGGGTTAATGATAAAGGTAAAATTATTCATGTACTTAAATGATGTGTAAATCTAGCGTCTAATGTATGTATAATCTCTCAACCTAAAGTTTTCTTGAATTTAAAAGGTACTTGAAGATCTACTACAGTTTCACTTCTATCAGAGGGAGAATATTCCCCTCAATTCTACATTGTTATACACAAAATCAAAATATTCCTGCAGACAAGCTGCTGGCTGAAAAGCATAATGCTGGGATATAGATGAGACACAAGGGACCTCAACTGCTGTGCAGTACAGAGTAGAAATGAGCATTTGCATGCCAGCACATATGGGGGATGGCAATAGAAGGGACTGAGCCTCTAAAGGCAAACAAGCTTCCTTTTGGCAGAACAAGACTCCCAGAGGACCAAATTGAGAAGAAAAGTAGAGACAGGTAGTTAAGAACCAAGTAAGAAAGATTAGAGAGCCGAGAGTCTCATCATGAGCAGAGGGCATTGAATGGCCAAGAGGGCCACCATCCCAGCTTCTGGCCTATCATAGTGTCCTGGTTTTGTCTGGGATAGTTAATTTTTCTTCTTAGTAGATAGAATAGTGCTGTGTTTTGGATTCAGTATGGGATTTAGTATGAGAAGAATACTGATAATATGTTGATGTTTTCAGTTGTTGCTGAGAGATCAAGGACTTTCCAACTCCCCATGTCCTGCCCACACACAGGTGTACAAGATGCTAAGAGGGAACAGAGCCAGAGCACCATACCCAAATTGGCCAATGGAATATTCCGTATCATGTAACATATTGCTCAATGTATAGATGAAGGCTAGCCAGGAAGGAGGAGGTTCCCTCTCACTTCCAGGATTGCTATTGCAGAATATTGGTGTTTCAGGATCATTAGCCAGGAACGGGCTGGGTATCTGTCAGCAGGTGGTGAGCAATCACATTGTGCATTGCCCATTTGTACTTTCCATTTTTGTCATTGTTTTATTTTATTTCAATTATTAAACTGGTTTTATCTCAACCTATGAGTCTCTTCTACCCCTCCAATTCCCTCCCCCATACACCAGGAAGAGGAGGGGGAGCGAGCGGCTGTGTGGTGTTTGCCTGCCGGCCAGGTTCAAACCACAACACACAGAACCATTTAGGTTGAAAAAGTCCCTTAAGACCATCAGGTTCAGGGTCAGCTGGATAACACTGTGTAAGAAAGATCAGTGGACTAGGGCTCTTCTGAGCATGTGTGGTGTGCAGGTGCCCAATTTCATGGAAGGATGGAGAGGAGGATATGAAAGTAGTGTTACATGTAGCCGGACTAGAAAGAAAGAAGACTAAAAACACAAATAGCAGGAAAGAAGAGATAATGACAAATAACTATTGAATTGAGTAAGCTATATAATCACAAGAGAGCAAACCAGAAATAGGTTAATATTAGGGTGGGAACAGATCTTGACTCTCGTTCTGTGAACTGCTCCAGCTCATCAGCTATGTAGTCAAAATAACCCCTAATATGAAAACAGTTCACAATTATTATCCAACCCCAACATTCAGACCTTTTCTAAACCCTTATCACAGGCCATGTTTACAGATTGTACAAATAACTGGCTTTATCTGCAGTGCGGCCAGGCTACAAAATGAGGCAGAAACAAAACATTACTTAAGGTCATGGAATCCATGTTACATTTATAATTTGGCACAGAGATCTCAAACACAGTAAAATGTATATAAGCTGTTAACGCTAATCTTCAGTCTCTTTCTGCCCAAACCTAATCGAGCTGAAGTCTGTCAAGAGGGAATTATATTTTTGAGGTTTGCCTAATGAACAGATACTTCCATATTTTAGATAAGTAAATGATGTACAAAGTAATTTAAGTACCAATTTGCAATATACATCCTGGCCCTTCAACTCCTACATTTTAAAGAGATTTTTAGTTTAAACCTACAAAAGAATCTGTTTCTTCTAGGATGATTTTGTGAGTTGCCTGGAACTAACTCCTCAAACTACTAACTTGCACATGGTTACAGAGCTGCTAAAAAGAGAGTTCTCAAATTTTCACTTACCCATTACAAACTTTAAGATGTAAAGACCATTTGTTTTAGACATACCATGACAGAAATAAAAAAACAAAGCATGACAGAGGGAATATTTGGGGAAAGAATGAAGTTTGAGGATAGACAACAAACTAACTATTTATTGTAAATGTGGGAAATGTCTATTACAATGAGCTTTTCATTTGTATTAGCTAAGAGTCCAGCAGATCAAAGTTCAGGGGAGAATGACGAATAGCCTGAAATATTCTGTGGCCCTCAAGTTTTTGTGTTTTCCTCAAGACTTGATTTCATTTCTACACTTAATCAGAAAGATTTATGATTTGTATATGTATATTCCTCATTCTGACCACTGATATAGACTGGAACTGCAGTAGACAGTGATCAGTATGACAATGTCTTCACTAGTTTTACTAGTTTGACTGCTTTTGTGGTCTTTATATACAGGAAAAGCCCTAAAATAATTTTAAGTACACCAATTAGAAAGCACTTTTAGTAGTAAAATTTATTTCCTTAGGGGAATTTGTATAATTTATGTTGTCAAAAAGTTATGTTTATTGAAGTTTTTTGTCACACAATCACAAAATAATTTAGGTTGGAAGGGACCTCTGGACTTCACCTAGGCCAGCTTCCTGGACTAGTGGTGTGGGGCTACCTTCAACACTAAATCAGGTTGCTCAGAAGCCAGAACTTCTCCTGGTACCTCTTCCAGTGCTTCACCAACCATTGTGAAGATTGCCTTTTCATATATACAATCAGAATTTCCCCTTCTGTACTCACTGATTATTGCCTCTGAGAGGAGTTTGGCTATGTCCTCTCTCACCTCCCCCTACCTCAGGAAGTGGAAGATAGCAATTAAATTCACCCCTAAGCCTGCTTTTCTCCAGACTGAACAAGCCTGGAGCTCCCTCAGCCTCTATTTCTATGTTGGGTGCCCCAACACCCCGAGCAGCTCCCACGCATCTGCACATCTCTCTCTTGTCCTATGGGACCCAGATCTTGACAGGGTATTGCAGACACAGCATGCAAACGCCAAGTCATTGTGCATTATCACTTCCCTTGACTTATAGCCTAGGGTGCCATTAGTCTTTCTCCTGTAATCACATTTTAAGACCAACATTTACTCATGTATAAATCCCTTAGAATACTATAGAATTAAACTAACAAATCCTTGAAAATATCTCAGAGCTATAATTTTTCTTTGAGAATCTAATTTGGGAATTTCTCTAGGTTGTGGGAGTTTAAAGATCTGTATTTGTATCTCAGAGTAGCTAAATCCCTAGCACAGACTAATGATCAAATAAAAGAGATAAGTATTATGAATTAATTCAGGATTAGTTTATCATATTTCTACAGAAATCACCAACCATTTCTTAATGTTTGTTTTTGCCTAATTTTGCTTTGTTTGAAATCAGAGAACCTTTCAAAATACTGAACAGAAGACAAATTTTTCTGTTGGTTTTGCTTTAAATTAAATATAATTCTTGTTATATTTTAAATTTTATTTCAAGAGCAATATCCATTTAAAAATGCTCAAGGAAATTGGTCCATTTTTCCCCAACAATCACTAGGTGTGAAAATTCCTTTCAGAATGGGGTTAAGAGTTCCTCCCCTTCCAGGAACACTTGAGCAGAGGGAATGCAGCTGAACTCCTTTGCCTAATTAGTCAGTTTATCTGAGCTAAGGATGAACTAACGCTCCTAGGACAAGTAGTATAAAAGAGGGTTGAGGGGGCTGAAGAGGAAAGACTGCAGATTTGTAAGAGAATAAATTTCATCCTGAATTAAGAGCCAAGTAAGTGGAAGACTATATCTAATAAAATAGGTGCTGTTTACCCATGTAGTTACGTATTTTACAAGCTGGGATGTTGCAATGGGGCGTTCTGAGCTAATGTGTTAAGAGTGTATGTGTGCAGCACTGAGATGGGTGGTTATTTTCTGTTCTTTTCAACTGTATATAAATACCATATGCTGGCATAGGTTGTGATCTGTTTAAAGCTTGTATGACCAGACTCCTTACATACTGGCTAATACTGTCCTCTTATAATCGCTTAGATGTCTTCATATATAATTTTTGTCTTGTATTTAAGTCAAGGGTTTAGTTTATGGGGTGTGCATTTTTTTTTTTTTTTTTTTATTTACAGTTGTTTTGGTACACATCATATTCTAGGTCTTTCTTCCATTTGTATGTCCATCTTAACATCTGTTATTCTGTTCAAACTGCTCAGGTTATGGCTTTTAGGTCAAAAAAGAAACATTGCTAAGCAATGGTAAACTTTTTTCTCTAATTTTATTTATAACAGACCTTAATTCTATGAAATGTTTGTTACTTGACCCACCTACAGCACTTGCACAGCTTCCAGGAAGGGTCTTTTCCTTTGGGTAACTTTCTAGTTGCTACTACTGCTGAATAACTGACATTGTGGTTGTTTGCATTAGCAATAAGAATCCCAGCAATAAGTCCCATCCTTTGAGACAACTAATTAACCACAATTTATTATTCAATAAAACTTAACATTTACCATAAAATCCCAGAGGCATACTTTTAGTCCACAAAATCTTAGTTCATCACATTATGCATAATGGAGCATATTTATTAGCATAATCTAGTCTAGTAGTGCTACCTTTCACATTAGCATGTATTTAGATCAGACAGGGTTGCTAAAACAGCAAGTTCTCACGCAAGACTAAACTGTTTTAGGTGCAGATGATCTTCGTAAGAAGTAGAATAAAGCAACAATCAATGCAAATACTAATAGAAAGGAGCAGATAGATCTGTTACATAAATGTTGCATTATGAAATAATAATAGAGATTGTGCTTTTTAAGATTTCAAGTAAGCATCTGTGCATAGTTAACGTAGTTCTTAGAAAACAAGCCAGGTTAATTTTAAAGGCCAGGTCTTCAATTGTTCAAAACATAAATATTACACACTGAAACCAAGTTTGGGTTTTTACCTTCTAGGGTTATTACTTATCTTCTACTCCTTGTTTCATGTTCCAGGATTAAGTATGGCTTGTTCTGGTTCAGCATAAGGCTCAGACACATACAGAAAAATGAAAATATATGGCTGGACTGCAAACATATTTGAAGGCATTAAATTCCATGAAATTTATTCCATTATTTTATCAAAGTTTTAGTCTCTGGATTAAACCCTCATCCAGTTCCACAGAGAAGCCATTTTGGTATAGGAGACATCCTGAACGTCAGCACACTGTCTACTGAGATCAGAGATTAATCATTGGATTGAATACTTGTATATCATTTTCAGCTGTGGCCTGTGGTGTTCCAGGATATACTTAAATTCAGTTTAACTTGACCAGTGAGGGTTTTAACAGCTGTTGATACTTACCCTGATAGCTCAACAGTTTCATCCTTTTGCCTCATTAATAGGAAAAGCCCTTAAGACTTACTTTAGTGCTGTCTGTGCACAGCCTACTAAAAAGCCTAGCAAAAGCTATCTGCAGCTACTCCTGCAGTTACTATAGAGTGCAGTGCCGAGACTTCCACGTTGGCTAGTGCAGTGAGCTAGTCCAATGCCTCAGCCCAGTGTGAAAGGTGAGGTCTCGGGGTCTGGTTTTGTGTGAATCCCTTCCCCGTGTGCAGCTCTGTGGCCACCAGGCTGCTGTGGGCTGCTGTGCATAACGCTGCGTCTTGTTTCTGAGCCGGTTTGGAGCCTCCCCACTCTAATCTCCTGTAAATCCGACTCCAGGCTGGAAAGATGATCAGTTGGTGACTGCAGATTAACAGGATTATATGGGGGTTTATTTGGCATATTAGGTTTAGTTCAACACAGGATTTACATGGAATTGGAACATTCAAAATTGACCTTATAAAGGGTACAGCCAGCTTTTATTTTTAAACTCAGTTGTGTGAACTGGGTAGCCCTAAGCACAGTAGGTAACTCTGTAGATGTCTGCTGTTTCAGCAGTAGCTATAGTGATCAGTTTGGGCTGAGAGAAATTATCTCAACCAGAAATCTGCTCTGAGCATGCTGAGAAGCTTGCCAAGCAGGTGTACTTACTGCATGCCCTAATGCATCAGCTAGGACCAGCCCTGACAAAAAGAGGCAGCCATGGATAGGTAGCTGGAGAAGCAGCTTCAATGCCCTCTTCATTCCAGTGACTTTCAAAGGCTTGCTCACCCCAGGTCACAGGCTGTTGGCTGCTCTTGAATGGCTGAAGGGACTAGGACTGTGTTACTCTGCAAAAGATCATGCCGACAAGAGTCTTTCTTGTGTCCGTTTGGTAAGAGTGTCTCCTAGGCTGTGAACCTGGCTCTGTACTGAAGTACCATACCCACTTATGCCACAGCCTCAAGCTTTCCCTTGGCTACACTTTTTTCCCTAGTGAACCTCATCTTAATTGTTGCACACTGGGTACCATTTTATCGGGACAGGTTGGAGCAGTGCCTTTCTGAGTCTCCCGTAGTTTGAACCCGATGTCTGTAGGAACTAGAAGAATGGGACTGAATTTCCTTATGCTGATGAAGGGATTGAAGCCAAGTTCTCCACTTCTTGGGCTGTTACAGATGATGGTAGTGGTACTGCTGGAATCATAAGTGTGTTGGATTTTTAGGAGAAAAACAGGCAATAGGTGTTAGTCTGTTCCCACAAAGAATGGCTGCATGATCCTCACGGCAGGTTTGAGCTGTAAATCTCCAAAGCAATAAGAATGACATGATAATAAAAGACAAACTTGGCAGTACACTTTGTGACTCACTGTCCATGGTACATGCTTTTCTGTAAAACATTTGCATAGTCCTGAGATGCAAACTCTTAATGACTCAGTCATAGTCTTGAAAACTAGCATAACTGTTCAGTACTTCCTTAAAAACCTCATTGATGTTTTAGAATAATCCTGTACTGTGGTAGACAGCAGGTTCCAGCAGGATGAGATGCAAGTGTATTGCATGACTAAATAGGACTTGCCCTCTTTTGTTTGTTGTTCTGATTTTCTTCATCCAAAGTGCTGTGAACTCTACCAAGAACTATTTATCTACTGGATAGTGAAGTAGAATGCTAATCCCAGGGCTTGTAGTCACTACCATGTAAATATTTAATATCAATGATAATGGTTCTTTGGGAAAAAGAGTGTATCACCCGTAAGTGTTACTGGCACTGCTATTACAGTCTCCTGGATCCAAGCCAGAAGATTTGGCAGATGTTAGAGGAAGCACACTTAGACCCTTAAGTGAAGCACTAATGTAACTACAACACTGTGTTCTCTGTCAGTGCCTATTCAAGAAGCATGTGGTCACTTTGGCTGGATAGTGCTGAGTCTGTGGAAGTTGCTAATCTCTGTGATAGTTGTGAGCCCAAGGCTGAGTTCCAGTAAAGTTCAGGCAGGGAAAGATACTGATTTAAAAATAATTCTGAAAGAACCAACTAGATTCTGGAGTTAACTTCAAATTTACTTATTTGCATCCATGTGACTGAAGCTATAAAATGAAGGAGTTTTTAGAAGTGCTTATTCTTTAAATACTCAGCTTTGTGTGCTCCTCAGAACTCTCTGTAAGGTAAGGTCAAACAAAAAATAGCAAGTACAGAACTGGGTATTTCAATGAATGCTAATTCCATACTAGTGTTTTAATCTACTACAGGAAACTTTTTTTTTTTTTTTTCTTCTTAGCCCTAAGACTTTCTAAGATAGGTGTTATTGTCTTTTTAAGGCTTTTGTTACAGTAAAACAGACTGACAGGAAAACTAACGAAACAAAGCAAATGCATGGTATGTCTCAAGACATACTACATTGATATTTCTTCTTTCATCTTTATTCTAGTACACTTAACTGCTTAATATTAAGTCAACAGATTAGTCTAGTTGCTGTACATTTCTTCACCTGCTAGCTGACTTCGCTCCTTACGTACCATTCAGCTTCTTCCTTCCTGAGAAGCTTAAAGTACTTATCACTCCGATTTAGGAAGTGAATGTGCAGGACAAAGGAAGAGTTTTCTTGGTGAACGGAGGTGTACGTTTTATGATGTATTTGGGTACTGTACTCAAGAGGGACAGAGTGAGATCTTAGTTTCTAGCCAGTTGGATGGCAGGCACGCCTCCCCCCCCACACCTCCATCAGCCAGGCAGATTGAAATTTGACTTGCAAACATAGGGCTGGCTGTATTTCCTAATACTGTCCAGAGCCCTTTCTGCTTACTGAGAGGGAAGGAAAAGGCTCTTCACTCTTTCATCCTTTCTCTTGAGTTCCAGCACAGCAGAGGATGCCCAGCAATCACTCATCTGTTTACTGATTCACAAAAGGTTTGTTTTTAAGGGAAATCTTCTAATTGAGAGGAGTCTGTGCATGCAATGCCACAGCTTTTTTCTTCTGAAGGCACTGCTCTATAACAACAGCATTCTGAGGAGGCAACAAATTCTCTAATGCCTTCTTTAATTGATGTAAGTATAGATTAATCATATGCTAACTTGGCAAGTGGGTTTATTGTAAATTGCTTCTGTCTTCAAGCACAGTAAAATACTAATTATTTTTTAAAAAAATAATAAACATGGAATCATGGGGAATTTCACCTCCTCTGCACAAATTCAGAGTTGTAAACTTGGGGTCTGGCATAAGTATTCTAACCAATACACAAGGAAATAATCTTACTATTGTAAGATCTAAAGCAAAAAGGGGGAAGGTATGGTGGTTTCTTAGAGTGTGTAGTAAAGTATGTGGAAACTTGCAACAGATATCTGGGGACTTTTGTATCTTTGCTTGTTTGTATTTAAGAGGGTTGATCAAATATTTGTGTAAGTTACTGGGAGTATCTCCATTTGATCTTATGGGATCTAGTTTAG